GTGTGTGTGTGTGTGTGTGTGTGTGTGTGTGTGTGTGTGTGTGTGTGTGTGTGTGTGTGTTATATAAACGTATAATACATACATTTTTCCGTAAAAAATTCCGTTTTATTCTCGATATTTTAGTATAGTATAATTAAATTTTACTTCTTTACTTCTTTATGATTGAATAATTATATATTATCTGCTTAAAAAATTATATTTACCTCAATATCAAGTTGCTTGCAAAAGGATAAAATAAAAATTTTTAAAGTAAAAACTTTATTTTTTTGTATATCAGATGTGAAAATATAATAAAATTTGAGAGTAACGTAAATGATGATGATACACTTAAAGAGCCATAATGTTATCATCACAGTTTAAATGGCGAACAAAGTACGTTTATTATGTTTAGCAATTAAGCTTTCAATAGCAACATGTCTCTTTGCACAAATTTTTTTATCTTTATGATGTACATATGATGTTCATCGAAGAATTTTTTAAAGTAATTTTTCCATGATCGTCTGTTTCACTCTTGTAAGTGTTACAAATTACCATTCCTCAATTATTGTTTTCGTATGCGAAGACGCAGCATATCACACAGGTGCGACCTAGTTTTAGTAGACACATTTTATCATGCTAAAAATTATTATCTATATTTCTCATTAATTTTTAACCACTTTCGGATGTTTCTATCTGTGTGTGCACTATTATAATTATCATTTTTGTAATATTTTATGATATTCTCTGATATTGTATTTTCTTTTAAACATAAATTGAAATACAAGAACCAATTTAAACACTTATTTGATTCATTATTTGAATGATTGTTCCTTTGGAATTCTATTATTATTATATATATTTTGCAATTAATTTACTTATAATACATTAGAAAAAAATTAACTCTTATTCTCTACATTTTGTATGTATGTGTGTGTATATCCGCGTAGAAAATTATTTTTAAAGTTAGATAGAATTAAATTATAAAATAGGAATTTCCTATAATTTAAAATGTACAAAAGTTTTATTTGTTTTTAATTTCTTTCTCCAATCTTCTTTCTTCTTTAATTATTCTTTAATAATCTTTAAAATATCTTTAATTTATATATTACTGAAAGGTTATAACAGTCAAACTAGAATAGCATTAGCATTATTTAGATTTCGATACGTTTCAATTATTTTTCGTGTTAATCACAAAGACATTAAATACGAAGATTTAAGATTGTAAAAGATGATCTGCGCTCTCTGTCTCTCTCTCTCTCTCTCTCTCTCTCTCTCTCTCTCTTTCTCTTTCTTCTATCTGATATTTTTATCAAGAAAAAAATTACTTCAAATTTTCTAAGAAATTATGACATACAAACTTACCGCACTGTGGAGAACATTTTACGTAAATACTGATAATTATCTAAAGTTTATTTTTAAATTTTCAGATGCTTGTCTACGATGCCAGGCAGAAAGTAAGAAGGAAGTTTATGGCCGGCAAGACTGCGTGGTCGTTTGGGGCGAGTGCAATCACTCGTTTCATTACTGCTGCATGTCGCTTTGGGTCAAACAAAACAATCGTTGCCCATTGTGTCAGCAAGAGTGGTCTATCCAACGAATGGGAAAGTAATTCTTGCGTATGCTAGTAACTAATTTCATTGCAGCTTCTAATTTTTTTGCAATTATTACTAATTAATCAGAGTGGGAAAAAAAGCTGTCACTCGTTGTAATGCATCCTAATGAGTCTCGAGTTTATTTTCTTTTTCGGGAATCTTCGAAAGTGATAATCAAAGTTATCTAATATCTTAGGCTAGGATTATTTTATTATAACATAATAATGATTAATAAACATGTACTTGTATATAAAATATGTGAA